TACATCATGACAGTAAAATCTGAGGAAAAGAACACCACGACTGGGAGTGGAAGCTGGTCTCTACTACAAATGTCCTAATGTCATGAGACACTGAAAAGAAAAAAAGAAAAAAAAGACCCAATTGAGATGTGCAAATTCCTAACAGTTCAGTGTACAATAAATGGCTTTCAGTTCAGAAGTAATCCATCTCTCCTAACATGCTCTCTATTTAATGTTCCCAAGACATCCATTACCTTTGTCACAGAACATTTCAAGAACCCTAATTCCATTGCTGCTTCAGACAGGCATTATTTTCCTTCTTTCATCTTCTACAACATGACAATAAAATATGAGGAAAAAACATCATGCTTGGGTGTGCAAGCTGGCCCGTACTATGAATGCCCTAAACTCATGGGACCCTGAAAAAAAAAAGAAGGATCTATTTGAGACCTACAAATATGTAACAGTTCAGTGCTCCATTAGTGGCTTTCTTTTCAGAGATAATCTGTCTTTCCTAACATCCTCTCCATTTAATGTTCCCAAGACAGCCATTGCCTCTCTCATAGAACCCTTCAGAAACCTAATCCAGTTGCTGCTTCAGAGAGCCATTGTCATTTCCATCTTCCATCTTCTACATCATGACACTAAAATATGAGTAAAATAACACCACGAATGGAAGTGGAAGCTTCCCATACTATGAATCCCGTAAAGTCATATGTCGAAAAAGAAAGAAAGGCCCATTTGAGACATGCAAATTCCTAACAGTTTAGTGGCCCTTTAATGGTGTTCAGTTCAAAGGTATTCCATGTCTCCTAACATGTTCTCCATTTAATGTTCCCAAGACAGAACAAATGTTCTCTGTTTTAGAACATTTCAGGAACCGGAATCCAACTGCTGCCTCAGAAACGTATTGTTGTTTCCACCTTCCATCTTCTACATCATGACTCTAAAATCTGAGGAAAAGAACACCACACCTGGGAATGGAAGCTGGCCTGTACTATGAATGCCCTAAAGTCATGGAACCCCGAAAAAGAAAGAAAGACCCATTTGAGACCTGCAAATTCCTAACAGTTAAGTGTTCCATAAATGGCTTTCAGTTCAGAGGTAATCCATCTCTCCTAACTTGCTCTCCGTTTAATGTTCCATTTAATGTTGCGTCTGTCAGAGAACATTTCAAGAACCCCAATCCAGTTGCTGTTTCAGACAGGCATTGTTGTTTCAATCTTCCATCTTCTATATTCATTGGGCACATAGCATCAAATATGAAATCACCATAAAACATGAGCTCAAAAATATATAATTGAAAAAATAGAAGTCCTAAAAAAATGACACAGCTTTTTAATTAATTACTTTAGTAAATAAATATGCAGAAAAGCTTTATCAGATCAGAGTTCACTTTTGGATCATTTTAGAATCAGTTCAGATAATGAAAGAATGAGAGAGACAGCCCTGAAATCCTTAGGTAAAGACATGTATATATGTTGTTTTGGGTTTGCATTTCTCTTGCAAGGAACAGGTAGTTTGCTAAAGAATGTGACATATCCTGTCCAAAGAGGCCATGCAGGGCTGCAGGGAAATTGCTTCTTGGAAAAGAAAGCATGTGAGGGGTCAGCAGAGCGGGCCCATTTGATAGAATTATTATATACAACTTGTAGCTTTTATGATGTCTCTCAGATGTCCTCAATAAAGATCCCTTTATCTGTGTCAGTTAGGGCTTTCTTGATAAAGTTATTTATTTAGGACTTCTATGTGCCACATTACATCTTGTACACCAATATGAGGAATAAATATTGGGGATAGATGATCATAGTAGCAAACACAGAAACAAAGATCAATACCATCTACATAGGAGGTTAGGAAGATTAGTAAGTCTCATATCAACTCAGAAAAAAAGACTTTTGATAGTTATCAGGCACTCCTCTCTGAAACGTTCGTTTATAGCCACCAACCTTATTTACTTTTAGTGGAGTTAATGCTATTTCAGGGGCAGTAAATTAAAGAGAGGGCTGGGGGTCAGGACCTGATCTAGGAAGCTTATGGAGTACAGAGTCAGCAAGAATTAATTATAGAGCAGAGCAAAGTTGGCATAATGAGGGCCTTGAGCAAAGGTAAAAGAAAGTTTGGAAGTAAGGAACCTCAGGCCATTTGTGATTTTGTTAATGGAAATTGTCTAAGTTTTCGAGGATTTGAGGGTCAAACGTCTCAAATTCTGAATTTGGGTCATTGACTTGGGCTGTCTAGTTTAAATTGTGGTCAGATCTGTGTACTCAGGGTAACAAGGTGCTTACTTTTGAGATCAAATTAGAAGTAGAGGATTTTAAAATTTTTTAATAGGACAACCTAAGGGAGCATCCAGTGGGATGGACTGGTTACCCCCTACTTTGGAGAGGTTTGACTGGGGTGACAGTCACAATCATTGATGTCACCCAGCACTGGACAGAGTTCCACCAAAGAATGAGAGGGCGACCCCCTCCCAATACCATTGGTGGAAAACCCTCGAGGTTCAGATGAGCCAAAGGTGAGGGTCTCCTGCACAACATCTCTGTGAGAGACTGGAAGGGAATCTGACCTCTCCAAAGAACAAGAAGGTTGGTGTTGTATGCATGCAGAAAATGACCTCTGATCTGAAGGTCTAAGTGCAGGGAGGAATTGGATGGAGAGCATTATAAGGAGGATGCCTCCAACATTGACCTATATCAATAAAGAACCTGACATAGGTCCTTGCTCCATCCATATAGCAATATGGCAGCAAAAACCTAGGCCAAGAATGGGATTGGTTTTGGGTCACATATTGGCAGCTGTTTAGCCAAAAATGGAGGGTCTCCTTCTAAAAGGCAGAAAGAGGGAGAGAAAAAAACAGTCAGTCTGGGAGTTCAGCTGTAGCTATACTAGCTGTGGCTGGGGGCTTCCTGGAACTCAGAGAGCCACAGAAGTGCTGGATGACTGACATTCACTTTCCAGGTCTTATTGGCTGTTTAACATGATTGTTAGGTAGAAAAAGAGAGACACAGAGAGAGAAATGGAGGTTCTTTGGAATGGGGAGGGCAAAGACCCCCCCCTAAACTCCCTTTCCCAGGTTTCAGCAACAAATGAGAGAGAATACAAGAGAATACAAAAAGAAAAAGAAATGGAGAATACAAAAAGAAAAAGACATGGAGACCAACATTTATCAAAGGGCATGTTTTCAAGGGGAAATTGTGGCAGGCTACAGTAAGCATCTGTGTTTTATAGGGTTAAGAAGGGCCAGGTCATTGGAAGAGTTGGCCAGTTACTTTTGGTGGACCTTTTTGGTAGGCACGGGGATTTGGGCAGATAAGGGAAATTTCAACAGGTCAGATTCCTCAGTTTCCTTTTTTTCCTGAAGGGTTATAATTTTCCATCTCCTTTACTAATACATTTACCAATGGTGAAAATGTCATCCATGTTTCTACAAATGTATGAGACAATTTTCAGTGAGCAACTAGATATCATTTTGATTTTTTAATGTCAGATTTGCTATAGATTATAAAATTCCAAGTGAATTCCTGAATTCAGTATAGACCTCAGAGAAGAATGGGAAAAGATGACAGTTCTTCATTTGTAACTTAAATGGTATAAAATGCAATGCACTATTTAATAACTCATAATTTAGAGTAAAAATCATCTTAAATAAAAATGTATATTATGTATTTAATTTATACCTTTCCTGAATAGTCTCAAATTTTTAAACATAAAATATTAAGTTGCTGCAAGGATGTTAAAAATGATTGAAATCAAGCAACCAGAAAAATAGTAAGAAAAAAAATTGTGACAAATTTGTTAAAGTCACACTTTTCTCTCCAACTTTCTCCCTTCTCTTTTCTCGTTTCCATCTCCCAGCCCCATTATTATTCTTGGGCTGCAGTCTCTAAAAAGAAAAAAAGATATGCCCAACTTTGTCACAAATTTGAAAGTTCATGTACACAATCTAACTATAGTATATATTTCACCTGGTGAAATAAATAATAAATACAAAAAAATGTTTAATTTATCCTGTACCCATGAATTTCTCTATTATGCTTACAAATCTTGTGGGCTGTTTTCAATAAAATCCAGAAGATTTTCATGCTTTTCAGAAGATTTTTTATCACTAGTGTATTATTCTGCTATTTATTTATTAAATGAAGTCAGGCTTAGTTTTAAATCTCAAATCAACTAACCAACAGAGGTGAGAGACAGAGACCCTGTGTTAGAAGCTATTCTCTGTTCCTCACTTGACCCTTAACTTTCAGTTTACTCCCTGGTTCCTTATTTTCTGATCCTAATGCTAATAATTCATCATCATGGGTTTCAGCACCAAATGAAAGCACATGAAAGAGAACACACACACACACACACACACACACACACACACAAAGAGAAAATGGAGGCATATCTCAGTGGATCAGTGATGCTTTATTAAGTAACAGAGGGAAAATTGCAGCAGGCAAAATTTTAGGAGGGACAGGTTATAGGAGGAGTTTTGGTAGTGCATTCATTTTGAGTGGGGCAGGAGGGCAGGTAGGGGAACAGTAAGGGAAGTTCCCCGGGGACCTATTGCCCATATCATTCAATTCATACCTTCTAAATTTATTATTCTTCTCAAAATATTTCTATGCATAATGTTATATGTCAATCCAAAAACTCAGATAACAGCACTTGTATTTGACGGTACTGGTAATACTAAAAATTTCTGTTAGAAATATCAAGAATTTGTCACAAACCTTACCTCTTCCCTCAGACATATACTGTAACTTTTCTTTAGAGCAGAATACCTCAAGATGCTTCCAGTACGAAGACTGGTAATCAAAATTTTTGTGAAAATCAAATAGCCTACACTGAATGTATTGAAATCATGATCCACTGTTGAAATTCTAGATTTAGAAATTTTTTGAACTTTTGGATTTCCATGTCTCAGTGAGCAATATCAAGCTTGCACAGTATATTTCTTCCTTCCTTTAGGAAACCGTGTGAATAATCAAAATCAATTCTTGATTTTTTGCAGCTGCTTAAGTCCACACTCCTATAGCACAATTACAATTCATGAAAAATCAATAGAATGCTAAAATATTTAAAACCCACACATAAACAAGCTAAATTTTACAGTATTAACACTGAATGTTGCATCCAACTGAGTAACTGGAATAATGCATTTTCATCTATCAGTTATCATGTTTATATATAAAGCAGGCTAGAAAGAGGAGAAAGGAGACAGGTCATTCTCTTGGTTCAGAAACAAACAGCTTAACATTTGATTTCCTCTATTCCTGACCCTGAAAGAAAACTGGGTAAGTAAATAGCCAGCTTTTATTCCAATACCCCAGAGGTGAGACACATGCTAAGCTCACCATCTACTTCCAGGCAGGAGGTATATTTCCGCCTTTGTGCCACATCCCCCAGGAGTACACAGCTAGAAGCCCCTGGCTTTCTGTACTGCCTATCTTACTCAGCAAACCAGGGCTGAGAGAGTGCCAGAGACACATTTCCTATTCACTTTTCACATCCTATCATTTGCCTTGACCTCAGGGATAGAGTACATGGCATTTGTCAAAGCAGCTGAGACTACCTGTCTGGCAAACATTTATTCAGGTTGCTTTCTAATTTGAGATGGCAGCAATGTACAGGGATAGCTCTGTGGTTAACTACACAGGAGAAAAAAACAGAGGCTGTTCTGCCTATGTAGCCTTATCATATCTGATAGTATTGAAAAATGTTAAGAAAATTAATGCTTTCAAGTCAAACTGCCTAACTGCCCTCTGAAAACTAAAAATCTTTTATACGGAAGTAGACCAAACCTTACTTAAATGGCTTCCCTTTCATATATCCTGTTGTTTAATAAGTCAGAGATTATTATTACAGTATCATTCATAGTTAAAACACGAAAGAAATATTTGTATTACTTCCCCATTCTGCCAACAACACAATCACTTTTATTATTCTATACATTGTGATCTATGTGCATACTGAATTTACCTCATAATCATGGTACAAAATTGATAGGTAACAGAGAGATGTGAGAAGTGGGAATATAAGGTTAGGGGAATAATTCTCTAAACTGGGCCTACATATGCTTTCTTTAAAAAGCAATTTTCTTGAAATCTTGTCTGGCTTTAGTCAATGGGATATGTTACATTTCTCAGAAATATTCTTTTATCTTTAGGAGAAATTGAAGCTGGAAAGGCTCCTGAGCCTGTCAATAAGAATAACACAAGCTACCTTGAAAGGGGGACTTTTGTGACCTTTACACAGACCAGATTCCAGAACTCAGAGAGGATAACTAGAAGCCAAGCCAGCAGATAGAAGAATAATTTCCAATTTGAACCACTCAAATGAGCCAAAGTGACCCAGAGTCACCTTGGATCTTCAGCGTGTCATTATAATAGTAAAATCTTACCATTTGTGGTAATATCATGCACAGTGGGAATTTCAAAGTCTGATACAATCCTATTATCAGTCAGAGAGGTCGAGAGGTTGTCTTTGGCAGGATTCTCTGGAAACTTCGATGGAACCCCCAATAAAACAGAAAGGCAGAAAAGGCACATCAATCCTCTCTCCTTTGAGAGATTCCCTTGTTTCCCTTTCCCTATCCCTCCCAATACGTTTCTGCATGCTACTCTGAGCAACAACTCATGACTGCCTCAGCTCTGTGTCAGATCTTTGTTCTGTAACATAAATCATAGGATAAATAGTATTTTTGGCTCTTCTTATTTAACAGAACATTCATCAATAAATATTATCCCAATTTATTACCTGTATCTAATAGCAATCATTTTATTTTATATTACTCCATTGAATTGATAAAAAATGTTTCAGTAAACAATTCTACTGCTAGACATTAGGAATATTGCCAGTTACATTCAAAATAATACTTCTATTAACATTTTAACATATGCTAATTACATAAAAGCTTAAAAACAAAGTAAAATACTAATTATAAAACAAACAAATCCTACAACCTCACCATCCAGAAGTAACTATTATCACTTTGGTAATGTCCTTCCAGTTTTTTCTGTATGCATATAAGGAATTTTGAATTATGATAACATTATACAGAGTACTTTCTATCCTCTCCCTTAGCAAAAAGTTATGTGCATGTCTCTAATTATCCATAAGGTCTGATAGGTGTGATCTTAGAGACAATCACACCTGGGTCTTAGTCTAATTTTAGTCATTATTTGGACATGGAACTTTCAGATATTGTATATTATATAAGATCTCCAAGGCATTAGGATATTATGAGGATTAAATTTTGAAATGTATTTACTTAATATTTAATAAATAGAGTAACAACTATCAGTATTATATATCTCATGACTCCATATAATTTTGTTATATAAAAAACATTATTAACTCATCTCCAAGTATTGAATATTTAGGTTCTTTCCACTTTTTAACATTGGAAAGAAAAAGATGATAAACAATCTCAGAGGAATGTCAGTGCATATATTCTTCTTTCTCCTAAGCATAAATCCATGATAGTATGATGGTTATGTCAAAGGATGTAACTTTTTTTTCATTTTTAATGCATATGTCAAAAAATGATCAGAAAATTTGCACTAATCTATACATCCACATACAACCCTCTTCAATTCCAATTTGCAAAATCACTTGATTGACATAAGGAAATATAAAAATTTACCAGCCAAGTTTTCATAAAAGCTTCTCTACAACTGGGGATTTAAGTGACATAATTTAAAAAATGTAACTCATGATGTACTTATATCACTTGAATGTCTGTGTGCTGTTAAGCTACTAAACCAAGATTGAAAATAAACAGTATTTAAAGCAGCTCTTCAAATAACAGAATTTCAAGTGCCAACTTTGAATTTTTAAAAATAATGAAATATATTGCAAATGCTGTACTTTAAAAATTAATTTGTAGTATTTTATAAGAGCCAATGTGTCAGCATATTATAAGCCAAAATTTAAGAAAAGATAACTCTGATACTGAGAAGTAAATGTTTATGTCACCCAGTCTATGGTAATTCTAATTACCTAATCTAAACAATATTTTTATAACACCTTTAAAAGAATATTGAGATCAAATTGTATAGTGAAATTATTCAAACTTTCCTAAATTATGATTATTTATTTGCTTTATAAATATTGGGTTAAAACTGATCAGAAAGTCCCAGAATCCTCAAAAGTCTTTCTGACCTCAAGACACTTGTTGGATGCCATAAATTGTTAGACAAAAACAACTTCTAAACTCTCGAGGAGAAAATCATCCAAATGGCTAATGATATAAAAAAGATAAAATTTGCCTTATAAAAGTATTCAATAATTTCAAATAAAATAGAAAGGGGAAATTCCACAATGATTTTAAATCGTACTAACTGTACAGTTATTTCAACCTTTTATGCTAAAAAAGATAATGCTATCACCCTGCAACCTTGGATTCTCAGGGAAGACACCCTCTTTGCAGATGTGTATCCACCTTTGATAAGTAAATCAGAATAGAGACTGTGGCTGAGTCAGTACTAAGTCTCATCACCATTTCAGAAAATTACTTTATTCATACCTGATCTAGTAATACTGGTCTACTAGAATTTCTTCACATAATAAAAAGCAAATATTCTTCCATCTGATATTTGCCCAGTGTTGTGGTTTAGATTGGGAATGTCTCCCAAAAATCTCATGTGTTCAGAGGTTGCCACTCTCCTCTTTAAGAGGACCCACCTTCCCTTAGGGCTGCCTTTTTCTTAATAAACTCTGCTATACTTTTAGTACATTTGGTATCTTTCTTGAAATCCTCCTAGAACACAAGAGCAGAAAACACTATAGGGTTTATAGTCATTGTTAAATATGCACTAATAGGGTTTATAGTCATTGTTGTTTTCATTTCATTACACATCCTAATATTCAGATTGCCTTATATCTAAGACATTACACGGGTTACAAAATGATAACTTAAAAAATTCTGCCATATACTATTATGTTAGCCTAAATAAATTTCTCAATTTCTCTGGGTCTCATTTGTAAAGTAGGAATAAGAATTCCGTTCTTATAGTATTGCTTCTGAGTGTTTGTTGCTTGGTTGGTTGGTTGGTTTGCAGTGCTAGAGATCAAACCCAGGACCTCACCCATACTAGGTTAGTATTCTACCAGTAAGTTATATCCCCATTCCTGCTCTAGAGTTTTTGAAGGTCTAGACAAAGTCTGTAACAAGTATCTAGTACATAAAGCATCACTCAGTAAATTATAAATATTATCATTAATATTGTTGTTTTATAATTGATATTGACCACTAATTTGTTTATAATACACCCTTAAGATTTTTTCCTAACAGATATCAGAGGTACCATTTATCAATAAGTGAATAAACTTTTGACTTAAAAAATAGTGCCATTGCTAAATAACACTTTTTGCAGTTCAGATTTTAAAAATTTAAAGCTAACTCAGTTCCAGACATGCATGCACACAGCAAGCAGTTAAAAAAAAAAAAAAAAACTAAGGAGTTGCCTAATTGACAAATCCACAATAATCTATTTCACATCAACATAAGATAATAGTGCAAGTCAGAATATGATTCAAGACCACTGGCACTCAGTAGAACTCCCCCCTCACCCACACTCTTAAGTAAGGCTGTTTGAAAACTCACGTTGATGGCTGTGGTATAGTTTCATCTAACCTTGCAGTCTGTTCTGCTCTTTTACACAGTAACTAAAATCAAGCCTGGTGCATGCAACAAAATGAAATGTAAGATTTTTAAAAATCAGAACAAAGTAGTATGAAAGAGTTGATGACAAATATTGACCCGCTGACTTACAAATATGGACCAAGAAAAGAAGTAAAATTTTAAAATCAAAAGTCTCTAATAATCAAAAAATGTTATTTCAGATACTATGGTAAAATTTCTCACAAAGTATGCCAAGCTATCCTACCTTTCTCTCTCTTATCAGATCTGTTCTAGATACCATGTATATAATAAGTTTATCAAAATGTTAGTAAACACATCCATTACAATTCATCAATGATTCTCTGAAGTTCAAAGGACAAAGTCTCCAATTCCTAGTCTGACTCATATCTCTGCATTTCTATGTCCAACCTCACATTTATCTGAACTTACACTAAAACTTGACTGATTAGCATATATCAGATATCTGCCTCACCTTCCCCTTCGTTGGCCTTTGCTTATGTTCTTTCATTGTTGTTAAAATATTCCACCTTTCCATCAAGACTCAGTCCAGATCCCTTCTTTTACATTAAAGGTTACAAAGTCAAACCTCAAGACTGGATTGCTCACAGAAGTTAACAGATTCAAGAATAAACAAGTGTTGTAGGAATATGGGACTAGTATTGTTGTATGATTTTTCAAGAGAAATTAGAAATCTGGATTTTCTTATGAAAGCTTCTTGCAATTAAATGATTTAAAGCTTTTTAATACACAGTGAGGTATCATTCTGAAAAATTAACTGATGTGCTCTGCATTCTTGATAATTTCTGATAGAGCCATCTTTATTCATCATCCCCCTGCTACTAATGTCCCCACCCCTGTCAGGCATAGAAACCTAGGACCAGATGTTGCTCTCACACCTACCTTCATATTTCATACTCTATCATCAAATTATGGAGGAAAGAGAAAAAACCCAAACTGATTGAGGTTAAGCATCCACTAATCAGAAGAATAATAGCTCAAACTAAAAGTTACATAAAGTTACAGAAAAATTAAATTTATTGTTCAATTGAGGCTGTGTCCTAAGGATGATGTATGAGGTCAGACCAGCACTGTGTGATCTTCTCCAACACACTTGCTAATCTGTGACTTCTCTTTCCTCCAAAATGCTGTGTTTCTTGTGGTGAGCCATTACCACAGATGGTTTGCATTTCTATCTCCATGAAGATTGCATCTTCAAAAAAAAAAAAAAACTTGAAACAAGTTTCTTAAAGCGCCATATCTTGTGATTTTCTACTACGCAGAATTAACCCCAGAGTTCTCCCCTAGAAGGTTCTTTATGTTTTGCTGAGGATTATGATTGAGAAAAAAGGCTAAAGCCATAAGAGGGAAGCAGGGAAAACAAAGATACTGCTGCAAAGGGTAAAACACTTTCTTTACCCTTTTAAGGAGGGACCATACTTTTATCATATTCCCAAAGGAATCTAAACTACTCAAAGCTGATGTAGTTACATTGCAAGTCCCCACAGCCCAGGTCCAATGTCTGTCTCTTCTTCATGGTTCACCATAAATAACACATATTTCCTTGAAAATTAAGTCCCTGCTCTATAAGTTTAATGTAGCCTTTTTGCAGGTGATTATTAGGTTTATCCTAATTCAGGGCCCTTTTCAACTCCAGAGTTTATTCATATATTTGATCAGAATAAAATTCAGGTAGAAATTGATTATTTTTTTTAAAAAAAAGAAATGAATTGGAATATGAAAGTCGGAAGAAATATTTGTCTTTACACAGTTATTGACTCCTGCTCTGTTTTCAGTCAACACTTATTGTAAAAGAATAAATCCAATCATGAGGTTTACACTATAAACACACACACACAC